AGGCCAAAATCTATCGACTCAGATCACCCATGTTAAGGATTCACATTTCCACCTAGAGGCATTGAAAAACCGTCATTAGAAACCATTAGTGCAATCACTTTTAAGTATCTTGATGGGACAAGCGCGTATGAATCCAACGTTGTGGATTATTTGAGTAGGCTATAAGCTCGAATAGGGGCTTTCAGCGAACCTACAAACATAACACCGTTTTAGTCAATTTATTCAAAGTCTAGCATTTAAACGAATTGGATAAAGTCGTATGGAAGAAACACATTATGGGATTTGTTTCCTAGTGTTTTTATCGACTTCGCTTATTTCGTAAGCGAAAATTGGATTACTTAGGGTTGTCCAATTGGTCAAACGCTTCATCGCGCGCCTTGTAACTGTATCGTTACGTCTATGAGCGATGCTTATACTGTTGAAGCACTAATGCTCGTCATGAACCAAACATCTATCTTGTTTTTCAAAGTTTATTAAAGCGCTAGTAAGTTTTTTCGTGGAAAAAATTTTGTTTACTCGTCACTGATGTGGCATTTGGAGGTGGCACATGCAATAATTAACGTTTCAGACGTCTGATGTTTATTTTGGAAATACCGTATCTAAGTTATCAAAGATGGATAGTGAATTTTGGGAAGGAAAAATAACAAGGATAAATTGTTGGTCGTTTCATATGGAGTAGTATTCATCCATATGAAATACACTAATTTTCATCGAATAAACAAATGTTATAAACTTGCACAAGTCCTAAAAATATCGGAATAACCTTTACAATTCTCAAGATCTCGCTTCCAATTTGTCTGTTTTCCTAGAATCCTTGGTGAATATGAGCTCAATTCTAAGTCCAGCACCAATCACTTGTCAGCTGTCTACCGTATCACATCGAACCGTCAACGAACGTAGCTTCATCAAGTAGCTGAAGCTGTTGAAACTTTCAGATCGTTTGACGGTCGCCTATAACCAGGACCAACGCAAGCTACCTGATATGCTCCCGCTACTAAAATGAAATTAGGATCCGGCTTTCCTCAAAGTTTGCTTCCTTGAAGAACTAGGTCCACAGTTACCATGACATTTTTTTTGACCCACCCCTAAATATTATTCATTATCATTTGTCATAATTAGGTCTGTGACAACGGATAAAAGACAAGTGATTCTTAGAATAAATTTATTATCCATGATGCAACTATACTGACCACTTTTAGTAACCAAACAAATGTAAGCGAGGTGAATGAGAGGTTTTAGGTGTGTTTTGGATATTTGCTTGCTAAAACTAGTGATTTCAACTACATTTCGTAATTTAACACCATTGGACGGTGATTTCCCAATGTAATCAATTATTTACGTTAGTTTGGTTTAGTCAGGTTAATCAAGGATACGAGTTTGAGGGTTAGAAATTAAAGTCAAGGTATGGAGTGTTGAGTTTTGAAGCCATTACTTAGAAATAAGTGGCTAGGGGTAAAAGTCTCAGTGCCAGTATTAGAAGGTATGGTAGAGCGGTTCTAGGTATAAGTTTTAAATGTTGTCGAGCTCAGATTTAATGTCTATCATGATTACCGAACTATAATTGCTAAAATGAATTGCCTACATTTCGCCCTAATGAGTTCATTTATGTTTCGGTTGAACTATAGTTTATAGACGACCTTTGAGAGTTACCAAATTGTGCTTGAAAAATTCAACCTACTTAATAACGTCAAAAGATAATTAAGAATGTGTAGAAGGTTAAAAGACATTTTCAGTATTTAACAGCATGATTCTGTGGCTCTGTAAGTGGGAGATTGATGTAGTAAAAGTGATGGTACGAAGTTATGCATAACATTTCTCCACTTTGTTTTCGACATATTAGAGTTGGAAACAAATGGACGAACATCTAGTTTTTATTCATTCGATATTTATATAGCTGAAACCCCCATTTTCTGCGGATCCTGTCCCACACCTCTGTACGTTGTCCCCTTTCATCACCCAGAGACTTGGCTGGTGAAATCACTTGCCTTTGCATCATCTCTCAGTCAAGGATGGACTTTCACAAATGCATCTGATCAGTAGTGCTTCCTTTAATTCCAGCTACCATAAGTTCTGTGAAATCTGTGGGTACTAATTCCTGATATACTCCTAGTTCTATGTAGGGTAAAATACAAGTCTAGCTTCAAGTGCATGATTTAATCTAAATTTGATCTTAGTGATATAAAAACGTCACGCCCAGTGATCACTGTTAATATTGTCATCCAGATGGTGAGAAATAATAGTTACAACTCGCAGTTATCGTGGAGTTCCCGATCTTGTTCAAATGTTTTCAATTAGAGTTATGGAGATTAGTGTTTTTACACATTTAAAATCATCAATCAATCATTATTAGACCACCATTAGAAACCTGGAAGCACTGGACGGCCATTTCGTCCTGGTATGGAACTCATTAGCAGTGCGCATCCACGACTCCTGCACCTCGCAGTGAGAAGACGTGACCAGTGGAGTTCAACCCTGTCGGGTGTAGGCAGTAACTACCGAAGACAAATGGGTGAGGTCGCGCAAAATCCCTAGATCAATCAGAGTTAGACATTAACACCGTTGGATGCCGGCCCAGCGGTCCAATGGCTAGGCGTTCGTGCACAATACCTAAGGTCTCGGGTTCGAATCCTGCGAGGTGCAGGAGTCGTGGATGCGCACTGCTGATGAGTTCCATACCAGGACGAAATGGCCGTCTGGTGCTTCCAGGTTTTAATGGTGGTCTAAAAATGATTGATTGATGTCATCGGAAATTCTGAAGACGAAGGATTCACGCAGCATAAATTGTTGTGCCTAATTTCATGAGTTGAGTTTATAATGAAAACCATCAGCCTATGTATATTAACCCTTTATCGCCCCACGTGGTGTTCATGATACTGATGATGAAAATACTTCAGTTTTGGAAAGATATATATCAGACCAAGTGGGGTAACTGGTTCGCTGATAAGGTAAATAATAAGTCTTGCAAAGACGACAACACGTGGGATTATTCGCGCTGAGCCTTAAGAGAATAAGATTGGTTTTGGTAATTGTGTGCCACATATTAACTACGCCTAGCCACCCTAACACAAGCATCCTACTGGAGCATCGTCGTCGTGCTCCTCGAGGTAACCAATAAAGAACTGAGTATCAAAGAGCAAAACTTCAAATACTCTCTTTCGAATTGCTCTCGAAGCCGAAGTGACCATAGCTCCCTCAGTAGAGGATGAGACGTGGTAGACGTACACACACTGAAGGAAAACTATCTGCTTGGACAAACCGTGCCTTACGTATGTTTCCTGACTTGTCCACGGTTCCATTTGTTTCATGATAGATATTTTTCTATTGTTATTGTAAGCTCCGAAGAGTAAGTGTTGTCAATTTTTGCCTTAATAATGTTAACATATTAGTTATCTCTCACCTTGAATTTCGCGTAAAATACTTGGGGCTCTATATCAATTCTGATTGACTTATTCAGGCACTTTTGTGTATTATTCCGCACCAATTACCGGCTACTATAACATCTGAGATTAATGAAAATAAGTTATGTGGAGTATCAGTGCATGCCTTACAAATATGTCATATTGATAGTAATTTATTTCACATCGTAAAATTATCAGATCAAATATAGTTTGGTATTCAGCACTGAATGAATCCATAAAATACAAGTAGTTTAAATGATTGTGGAAGAAATACAAGCTTTTTCATTGCGAGTTTCAAATTTTAGAAACAAAGGTTCCCTAACGCCTCAAAGTCCTGGCGCACCTAAGTACCTGACAAAAATTAAAAATGAATTTTCAATAAACCTTAGGATTTCATTCGTACTCAGGGTTTGACAATGCTGTAGTCCGTAACACCTTTCGAATCGAGTGTCCAAATGTTGTCAAACCAGAACTCAGGGATGAAGGAGATCGGAGATGTATCTCATAGATGTTCTAAATGTCGATAAGCGTGTATTCTTGACTGGCCAACTGTTGTGAGAGATGAGTGGTACAGCGTAATCAGTAGTGATCTGCCGAGAATGAGTTACAAAGCGCCTTCAGTTAGAGTGTGTTCAGTAAAACTAATGAGGTCAGTATCAATTTCGATGACGTACAGAACTATGAGTTTTGGAGATTTATTTACCATTACAGGTACCTATAAGATTTTGTGATTTTGGCCATTTCGAGGATGCTTCCTAGTCTCCTATATTTCAAAAGTGTAGCTGCAGTATTTTTAGATTTTGTTATCCAAAGTATTTTTATCCTTTTAGGGTGAAGGAGGAAATACCACACTTTCATACCTTGAGACAAAATAGAACTTAGCAATTATGTGACAACGTCTGCTATCAAAGAGGCGAATTTAGTAATGTAAGGTTTGCTCTGACGGCTTTTTCATCTGAATTGGCTCATAATTATAGGTCATAAAGAGAAAAGACACTTGCTGTTGGTGAAGAATTTCCTGGATTATACGCGTATTTTACATCATCCCTCAGATGGATTATTTCACTTCACAGAGTTGTTTGTTGATTCATTGCTATCCACTCATTCTCGAAGTTGAGTCGGATAGCACTGCAGCGCTAACCTATCCTTGTTGTAAACTTTTCTATAAAACCTAATACCATATGCAGAAAGGTTTTCATTCAGGCTTATATAAGGCAGTGTTTAATTCGTTAATAGCTTCGGTTCCGCCTCCACATCATTCCTATTAATATTCAACTTTTGGATTTTAATAACGGATTCTGTTTGCTTGGTTTATATTATGATTAAATTACTTCATAAACTCCCATTCTTACTTGACAAAGCGTAGCTTTCTACGGGTCTACTGCTATCTATATCACCATGATATCATGGGGAGTTCTTATAGAGACGTACGTTAAGGAGAAATGGTACTCACTTTCAACTTAACATGTGGTAAACCAGCCTAGTTTTGTTTGATCATTTTGAAAGACGTTTTAAATATTGTTTTGCTACTAGTATCTAAACTAAGAAATTTATTTATTTCCATACTAGATGTTGGTCTTCCTTAAATTTTAGTTGCACTTCATGGAAAAATCACCTCTCAAGAGTTCTTCGTTTGAATTTCCGATAGGTGTAATAAGAATTCCAGTTTCATTGTCAGGTCTCACGGAAGTTGATGCTAATGGTCTGCCACGATTACCTGTTTCAGTTGCATGCTATGCAAGGTTCCGTCGGTTACTACACATCAAACATCATAACCTATGTCGATATCTCGATGTTGTCAGAGAGAAGGGAGAAATACTATCAATTGTCTGTGAGTACTACAGCACAAGCTTTTCCAACTTCAGTAGTCCCGTCACTGACGCAAATTGGTTATCAAAACGATTTAACGAATGTCTATCTGCCTTATGTTTTATGAATGACAATGGTTTGGTACACTGTTGTTTGACTCCTGATATGATTATGCTTGATTTTGATGGACATGTAAAAATTGGAGGCTATGGAATTTATTATGCTACAGATTGGGGTAATACAATTGATTTTACTTTACCCAGTCCTATGTACGCTGCTCCTGAGGTATTTTTGTTATTATGCAATCAGGCTAATGATTTATGTCAACCAAAACGTTCAACGAAATATAGTAAATGCTGGGTAAAGATAGAAGCAGATGTATGGTCTTTAGGTGTCATATTTTTTGAGTTAATCTTTGGTAAAGGATTCACAAATCCGTTACGTAAACTTCAAAATGAAAATGTGAAAAAAAGTGAGATAATATCCTTGTTGCTAAAAGGTCTTTGTCACGCAAATAAATATCCAACATTACCTGAATTTCTACAGCTTCATCTGAATAGTATATCGACTGAAGTAGACATCTTGGTTCAGCTTATTCAGTGTTGTTTGAGGTTCGATGCAATAACACGACCAAATCCCAAATATCTTATAAAGGAGATGAATAAATTATTGCAGACTAATTGCTACATGTCTTCCAATACAAACGGTGATGAATATTCAAAACCCTGGTGTAGAGTGAGTTTACTTGGTGTAAAAAATGCTTGATTACGTAGATTTTGGCATATTTCTAATGTTTCCTGAATCAGTTGAGTTCGTTTTATTTCAACAAGAACTCAGATTGGGGCATTTTTGTTGAATCAATTATTATGAGATATGAAGTTTAGATTTACATTATAAAGCAGTGTCTTTATCCATCGTTTTTTAAAATTTAAAACTAAATGTTTTCAGTCACTAAAGTCAAACAAATATCTTACTCGTCTTCAAAAAGGGATAGTGTAATTAATTAATTATCAGTGTTATCAGTTCTGTCCAAGATATTGACTTGAAGAGAAGTAACGTAGTAGTCAATATACCTACATCCGGAATTAGATACGGTCTGCTTGTCAACATTAGTAAGTTTGGCAGACGTTATTCAGTTCTACCCAGGATAGATGTACAAAAATCCGAGTTCCCACAATTCTTATCTACGTAGAAAGTAAAGAAATTAATAAAATTGAAAACAACAGAATCAGAAAATGTCAGTATCAGTATTGATATGTAACTATGGAGAATGTATTCCAAGAACAACGGATGAACTAAGGAAATAAAAAGAATGGAATTATATTGAGACTCAGAATTTCAGAGAAACGAGGTGATAAATCCATTGTCTTCTGCAACCGATTTTGAAACATCGTGTAAGGTTTAAAACTATGGATTATAATCATATCGTGGGACCTAACTAGGATGCTCACACTTCATATCTGGTCTCAGTTCAATGGTCATTGACCTTACTGATTGATGCCATATCTTAGTTTGGCCGATTCCAATATGACATTAGTTCGGACTATTGTACTGAATCGTATCATGAATTACAAACTCTGCGTTCAGTTAGGATCTTCACCTCAGTCAAATGTGTTGTTTTATGATTCCTAGTCGGCAAAAGGGTATCCGGAAAATGCTCAATCCATGTGGCACATTCAAAACAGTTAGATCAAAGTATAGACAATACGTAATTCCCACGAACTATTTTGGAACATAATTTACTGCAAACTGTATTCTGATGCTAATTGTTCGAATTGTTTGATATCTCCAGTTACTTGTTGCTTTCATCAATTCTTTAGGCTAGCATATTTAAATTCATTTCACACGTCAATTAAGCGGGAAATGTAACAGAAATTAGCTCTTGTGTCCCAAAATATGGTAGAAGGTGAAGTTGTTTGGATTGCTAGTGTAGGTCTTAAAGTTCACTTATTAACCTTGTATATATGTTTCTGAGTAGCTCTAGGTTTTGTAAGTTTATAGAAGTGAGAATTTGAAAATTCTGATTTCTTTATTATTATTATTATTATTATTATTATTATTATTAAAATAAGATTTTCGTCCCGCTAACCTAAACTAATTGGATACGCTTATATGTAAATCTACAACCGACCTCATAATTGATCTGAATGATAGTTCTAAACCACTATGCTGAAATATCTCTAAAGTTAACTCATCATATTAACTTGTTTTTCACTTTCAGTAGTTAAGTGTTAGTAAAAATGGTGCATTCTCAATGCCTTTTCAATCTCTTTTGATTTATCTATCTATCATTTCTCAACTGTTATAAATTTGGTTACATCCAGTTTTTATTCATATTCATAATCCAAGTGTTTTTTTGGAAATAACAAGATAACTCCTTTCATGAAGAAGTCAGCGACAGGCCACAAAATAGTTTTGCTAACATACTTATGGTAATATATGACCGTATTCATAAAATTGAGAACATTGTTTACAATTATATCAAAACATTATTTCTTATAAAATACAAATAACTGGTAGTCACACAATATGAATAGCTGTTTACTGCTACCTGTCAGTATGATCGTAATATAGTTAGTCTTTTCAACAAAATTGTACTGTCAGAGCAAGTCAGTGCATCGAATTCCTCATTAAATAAACGAAACTGCAAAACATCCATTTTTTTTAAATTCCATTTAAGTATTTTAAATTCGTAAATAATCAAAATGATCAAACTAGTTTGATTGTTATCGTCACTTAACTTTTTTTTGTACAAAATATGTATATTGACATTTAATAATTAGGAATTTCTGTGCTTTTTGAGTACTAATTACGCATAACTTGTACGTTCAAAATGAGACAACGAATGTATCTTTGATTACTATTAATTACTAAGATCATGTTATCGAATATATTGAATTTTCTAAAAATAAATGAATTTTATGAATTCCATGAGTGATCATATTTTTTTTCTTTATTATCTAGAAGATATACGATCATTCTAGGAAATGTGAATTTCATCCTCAATTATTCAGTTTGGAGGATAACAAGAATAATATTTCAAAAGCTTATAATTTTATTAAGAGTATTGATAATTTATCCGAACTTTATTACTATTGGATGTTGACTGGTGGTAAAATTCATTCCACATTAAATGGTCATACAGATACAAAAAGTATTCGTGATAATTATCATAACAGGGGTTGTAAAGAAGAATCAATAATAAAAAAAGAAACATTAAGTGATACGAGTTTTGAGTGTTTATTACCTCCAATCTTCAGGATTCCACATTATCTTGCCATAGTTCAATCGGATACTTCACGTACAATGTCTTTAGAAGAACAATGGCCTCCAGGTGAAATGCCACAACCACGTACGTAAGTGCCATGATTTTTTTTTTGAGAAAGTTACCCTCTGTAGATATATATATATATATCCTAATCTTTGTCTTAAACTAGTTCCAACTCACATTGCTCATTAGTGTTCATCATTCCCAACAGTTCTCTTCCACTGGAATGAAGTCAGTGAATTTTATCAATTTTACAAAAACAGATTAATAAACAGTGTTTTTTTTATCATGTATAGCATACTATAAATTTTATTACCATGTGTTAGCTATATTGACATGAAATGTAAAATGTTGATTATGTTTTATTAAAAAATCCATTAGATCGAGATGTACTAATACTTTGTGATTTATTCTCATGATCTTAGAAACTGATATTCACTTTGTCTTATTTTATATGTTATTGCATTTGTCATGGCAAGTTTCGGAGAATAGCTTAAAAACCCATTTAACTCCATTGCTTTCAAAAAGATTCATAGAACTTTCAAATAAACGAAATGCACCCGTAGATAAATTCATTTTTCTTATTATTATAATAATTCAATGGGCGTATTTTGTTCATTTAATATATTTCAGTGTTATTTATGGAGCTGTAAAATTCGCCATACTTTTATGTTGGTCAGAATCATAAAGATTTAGACTGAAGTGGCGGTAGAAATTTGGTGACTCTTCAACGACAGTTGGACACTCGATTGATACATATCAGTTAATATTAAACGGTCATTCTTTTAACTACTTATTCCCGTAATGGTCCCCATATTTACCGAATTTCATTGTTCACATCAAGAGCTCACGTTATTCCAACAACCATTAAAAACAACGGAGCACTGGACATCTGCTTCCTAGCCGTATGAGGTTCCTCGTGACGAGCGCTTAACCTTTGAGCCACTTAGCTAACATCCATCGTCTTATATGTCCGATCTCAATGGATTCGCGATATTGAGCAACCATCTCTCAGTGCTGTCGGTGACTAACAATCTCTTACACCAGACATAGTTAGACTTCACTGGTCACGGCTTTCAACTAAAACTGCGGGGAGGACAGCTGTCCCGTGCTTCTTGGTTTTCAGTGGTTACCTACCTAAGATCAGTCATTGATGTAAACTGTAATAATCGGCAGTCTTCACACCCTCTGAAAAAATGATAATCTTCAAATTATTTTTCTTTTTTTTCATATCTCTATGTTTTTAGATTTCAGTTCAGAATTACCCCACTTCCCAGTGAATATTTTATTGAACGTATATCACATACACCTCTTCAAAATTTACATCCTTTATTAATTTGTCAAGATCTACTAATTAGTTCCATAGGAAATTCAAGTGTTTGTTCTGCATTATATTCAGTAATTAATGATAATAATACTACTACCACTACTATTGAAAATTTGTCTAACACTTCAAGATTAAATGAATATTCACGTACAATTTCTAATTCACCCTTATTTGGATTAACTCAAAAACGTTCAGATTTTTTAGATTTACTATACAAACATGATATAACTTGTACTGTTGGCATTAATTGGAGTATGCCATTTACAAATAATCAATATGAATCGATTGGTAATACTATATCACAACAACCATTATCAGTTAGAGAAACTGATGTAGATTATCAAATTTATCGTACACGTTTGTTTACACGCATACTCAATGGACTACCTGCCACTAAACAATATCTCCGTCTAGAAGCACGTAAAGATATACCACCATTCTTACGTTGCAAGGTAAAATTGAAATAAAATTTTCATTTTTATTCTTAATGTAGAAAATCAGTCAGACTTACGCAGCATAGAACCTGTCACATGTGTGTATCGGTTAATATTGACACATCACAGCGCTAGAGGATAAAATTATCAAAACAAAACTCGGAGTAGTAAAAGTAGTAACAATATGACTGCTGATTTTGAAGATTAGACAGAGTGAATATGATTCGTGAAAAAATGAATTTGGAATGTAAGAAATTACAAGATAATTTGAAGTCTCAAGATCTAACAAACCAAACAAACAAAGAATGTGTAGATCTATAACATAGAGCCAATTTTGAGTAAAGAATCTTCGTTTATTATAGCATACTACTGGTTTTCATTATCGTCAATTATTTTTTGAATATTGGTCAAGTATTGAAGGCTTATTTCAATTTGTTTCGCAATTCAACATCGTCACTTACCATTCGTTCAAAGTTCCTATGTTGATCAAATTCTATCTTTTTAAAGTTACAATATAGCCACTAGTCTAAGTAACTTGGCATCGAGTGCTCTATGTTTAAATGTAAGTTGGTAGTTAGAAACAGCCAGTAAGATAACCTGGACATAGTTTTCTTGCTAGTGAGCACTTGTAAAACAAGACAAATCTGCCATCTTTAGCGAACTAGTGCTTCTCGTCAAATTCATGCTTGTATCAATCGTTGTCATAAATTAAAACTTTACTAATGAGCCTTCCTATTGATTGTCTTCAATTACTGTTATGATGGGGAAAGTCCCAATTGATTGAAGAGTGAATATAATCTAGAAACTCGGTTTTCTTTAGTCGCCTATGTTCCTTAATCATGTTTAGCTGTCTGTTAATATTCTTTATGTATGTTATTTTACTAAAAAAATTCTTTTGGCTAATGGTCTTGCTGTTAATTTAAAATCATTTGTGGACATATGTCAGTAATTTGTCTTCGTGTGGAGTCTTATCGATCGGTATTCTTTCCCAAATGAACAATCAAATTCGTTATTAAAACCGTTGTCAATTCTGAGAGCATTTAATTCGTTGCTTCGATGGTAACACTGTCTACTAATTAGAACTTACACGATAAAATGAAGTGATTGTGTTATATGGCTCCAGTTTTCCATAGTTTTCAAAACATGCCGAATTTGTGATGCTATCGTCGATTCAAATGATTTGCTGAATTCTAGTAAATTATAAAGATGATATTGACATCATTTGAGATTTTCATGTTATGACTTTTTAAGAATCGATCGGTAGAAGCTTATGAAGTTTCCGATTCTTCCAAATATTTTAAATGTTTGTTTATCAGTAAAGGGTTGTGGAGATCATTAAGTCATTGAAATCATGAATCGATCAATGTTAGACCACTATTAAAATCTTGGAAACATTAGACGGCCGTTTCGTCCTTGTATGGAACTCATGAGCAGTGCGCATCCACGAATCCCGCTCGCGGGAATCGAACCCGTTGAATGTGTTGTGTTTGAGAATACTTCGGATTGTGTTTAAATACAGTTATATATCAGCAATTTTGTCATAGAATCTCTTTTTAAAAAATTACTAGATTGAAACAGTTACCTATTAGTGTCAGGAGAGTTGGACAAACATGGAACAACTTGTAACATTTTGTTGTGCTCTATCAACTTCCAGCAGTCACAATTCGAAATCATATAACGAAAAGATTTTGGTGAAAACTAATATTATCATCAATTATTGGGTGCTGAAAATTTCTTACCGTAACAAAATTCACGGCATTTAATAAAGTAATTATTATTATTATTATTAAGATCGTATAATAACTAAACATTAACAATTACACCTTGTATATTATTCAATACATTATATCGAAATGGTTTGATATCATAGATTTTAGCATTCAAATCATAGTGAAACCAAGAATTATCAAACAGCGCACTTGTTTTACACTCACTTCCTTTTTGAATAAAACCAGTTAATTCTCGATGGATTGAAAATATCAAAAACTCATTTAATCCCTTATGTGTGATTTATGTATCCTACGTTTTTAGTCCACTAATATTACCTGGTCTAAACCATTGGACTTCATTATTCGCACTCTATATCTTACATTATTTACATATCTTATATCCGTAGTTGTCGTCCATCATTTGATGTTTGTTAAGTCCATTCATTGTTCAGTTTACTTTAATGAGTTGTTTCTGAAGTTCGATTTTTTGTCGAACTATTCATTGAATTTTATTTAACAACGAAAATACAGATTTTTCTCGATATCAACTTTTTTTCTCCTAGGTTTGGGCTGCTTTACTTGATGTTTATCCTAATCGTGATTTCGAATCAGCTTACCTAAAAACATTACATAAAATCAACAAACTTGGCTTGGATGTAACACCTACCAATGAATTAAATAACAATGGACAGTATAGTACTGACAATAATAATAATAATAATAATGATCATAATAATGACTCCACTACTAATAGTAGTAGTAGTAGTAATAATAATAATAATAATTCTAACGCTTTCAATTGTGATCTCTTAGATGAAAAAGTCATCAATCAAATATCAGTTGATTTACCACGTTGTCATGCTTACGATCCATTGTTAGCATCATCAATTGGACAATCTGTACTTCGTCGTGTTCTACTAGCAACTTTATTAATGAAACCTGGTGCATTGGATTATACTCAGGTAAATGCCATTCTAATTAGTATAACGTTTTAAGCCATAGTTATGTGTTTAGTGGTTTTATTTTAATATTCCATGTAGTTCAGTCTACACTTCAGTTTGTTAGCTCAACTGTTTTTTCTAAAGGTTTATTGGTATTTTTGAGTTAATTCATAATTTTCATTTTTAAGATATTAATTGTCTGAATAATACATTCATGTTTAAATGTTAAGAAAATTTCAAGGAAAACCTAGGGCAGAGTAAAAGACAATACAATGTACTCTGAAAATAAATCAGTCATCAGCTTCCTATTGTTATCGTTGACTCTAAGTTTTTGGTTTAGGATTCTTATTGATTTCAAATGATGAACCAGTTCTCTCTTACATTGATAAATTCATTTATCTGCTTCAGTACAACTTAGTAATTATTTGATAAAGCGTGAATTTTTACCCAATGGTTTCCAATAAATTGGAAATTCTAACCGTTTACTTTTTCATTTTGTGGATTCAGATTCCCTTCACATGACATTCTTAACGTTAGTTTAGTCAATCTATGCCATCATAGTTAGTCGCGTATCAGTTCTATTCATCCCTAATTGTTCATGCAAAAGATGACAATTTAATGGTCTGATCAATGTAGTTTATTCCTATAGGATTTGGACTACAGTTGTACACGTTAAATTTTACATATTCATTGATGTAAACACTGAACGTTTTCAAAGTGTGAATCCAAGATGCGATTGATACTGATTTAAGCCATTATAACTAACTAACTAACTAACAACAACGAAAACGTATAAATGTTGAAATAAACTATATAAGTCATACGAATAGACTTGAAATGTGGTGACAAAAAAAGATGTACTAAACAATAACAAACTAATGAGAAAAGAGCGTCTGTAATAACAGTGAAAATGGAGGGAGAGTAAGAAACATTCGGCATATAAGAAACCTAGTTTGTAGTTGTATGCAACATCTAACTACTTTTGTGAATTTGATCGTTACTAGAAAATATTTAAGTTAAAAAGATTCATCACCAAGTCATGACATAAATATTTCCATACCTATTTTCTTTGTTGTATCCGGTAATCACTTGTCAGATCACCAGTTGTCTGTATTAGGGGTGTTAAAAATACACATTATTCTACCATGTATTTTCTCTATTATCTTTATCTTCTTTATGGGATTCGTTATTAAGTTACTACTGGGCGTAGATTTGTGTACTTAGCTTCGAGATACACTTCAAATATGAAGACTAGTGATATTACCTGATTGTTCAAACCAAAGTAGGAGAAGCAAGGTTTAAACCGGCGACGTCAAACGTTATTTATCATTCAATCTGAATATAATTTTTTAAAATATAAATTCAAACACTGATTCATATTGTTGGTTATACCATTATATCTGTTGACGGTTCTCTATAATTTATAGGGTATGGATTCTGTAGCTGCTGTATTTGTACGTATATGTTATCCAGATGAAGCATTAGCTGCCGCTTGCTTAGATGCCTTTTTGTCAACAAAACTACCAGGATTTTTCTCCTCTGGTGGTCTTACTGTTGGTTTAAAATCATATTTCAATACACTTCTGCGATTGTTAGCATTTCATGTGCCTCGATTAGCTGTTCGGTTGGTTGATATTAATGTACCTTTGATTGGATTGACTACTGGTTGGATTTATACTTTATTTGCTCATGCTATGCCATTAGATCGTATAGAATTATTATGGGATACTATAATTCCTGGTCCAGCTTCATTGTCAATGTTTTTCTACATTGCATTTTTCATTCAATTAGACAAACAAATTAATTTTGAGGTAATTATCATTTTTTTCATTAATGTGACGAATTAGTTTTATAACAGTTGACTTAAAATATAAAAGAAATGAATAAGATTTAATATTCATGTTCGTGTTTTTGGAGTTATTATCGATATATTAAATCAATGTTCAGTTGAAGAGATTTTTAATACTCAATCTAATTTTATCTTCAAGGTATGAAATGAATAATCAAGTTTTATGACTGTTGTCCTAATTTAATCAATGTAATTAGTTTTTTCCTCTGAGCTAATCTTGTTCAACTACGCTACTAGTGAGATTGGCTGAAAAACATAGATTATGATGACCATGTCATAAGGATCTTGGAATCGATTTGGTTAACATCTATTTGGTGCTCTTTCTTTTTTAATGTATCTCAATTTTTCTTTCAGTACATTGATTTAGGGGATCGAAATGCATGTTTTGTTTTGTAGATGGCTGCAAGTAAAATCCTACTAACCAGAAATCAATTACTTAAGGAACTATTCAGCTTAGTACAATCTAGAAAAGGATCACAATTTCTAAACATTTTTACAAAATAGTTTATCCAGTTTTCTAATTAGATCATTCTACGTAAATATTGTACTTTTATTTAATTAATTTTAGTCGTTAGGATTAGAAAAGATTTGTACAATTTTGTCAAATTTTCCTGATATTAACTTGGATAAATGTAGAACAGATGCTTTGAAATTAGCATTGGCTACTCCTCGAAGTTTAACAGCTTGGTCAATTCCTAATAGACAGTATTTATATCAGAAAACAACATTAGGAAATGAAGAATTAGCAGTTGAACATTTGAATTCAAAAAGAAAAGAATTATCAACTTGTGATTTTTATGAAGTAAGTATAACTTCATTTTTCAGCATTCGAAAGATAAACTAATCAGTTTTTTTTTCTAAAAATAATTTGATATTAAATTGTGAAGTTGGATAATTAAAATATTCGCTCATCAGTTATTCTGATGAAAGTTTCTTTTTTGCGATTTGTACTTTTTAAACTGAAATGGTAGGGTAATATTAATCGTTGAAGTAGTGGATTAAGTGATTAGGACATGTACTACACATGCTCAATCACCACCTACCTTGATGTGGGATGTTTTCGAGTAGAGGAATATGTTGAAAAGAAGCTAAGGACTGTCAAACCAAGATGTAGCATTAGCCAGTAAATTTATTGTCTTGTTATTTGAACCGTGTTGTTGGATGCAAACTACTTGGTCGGAGTCAACGCGATAACCCCTCTCAGTTGTTGAAGACTGTGGCACGGCTCAGAATCGTCCATAGTGATCTGGATACACTTTCTATCATCCTCTTGATCTTATATTCTGTACATACTTTTTCGCTCTGCCTTTTAGAACCATATTCTCAATGTTTAGCCTTAGTTATTTGTATTGCTAATAGATTATTTCGACTTATCTTGTTACTTTCGTCTAATCGTGCTAGTGAATTATATAACAACCTAAACCTAAATTACCAGACGTTATGTTGATGACTGACTAGCATGGCTATATATATATAGAACTTGCATCTGTGCTGAGGGACATTCTGTTCATATCCGGTGGCTAGACAATGTAAGTTATGCTGATCTGCAGTAACGTGTGCTTTTGCGTAGTGAGGTTGACAAATCAAAAAATGTTATCATTTCAAAAGACTAGTTTCAATTATGTTGTCCTGGGGCCTATAATGTAAGACAATCATGATGATTGTTTTAGTGTCCGTTTTCACATCTCTCCCTTTTTCATGTGATTAGAAATGCTATGCAACTCACTGACACGAAATGTTATTATTGTAACGCTTGCTTAGATAATTCCCGGCTAAATCCTATTGCTTAGTATTCTCTGACCACAAAACACTGGACAAGTTCCCAAGAATCAAAACACGGTTGAACAGGAAAAGATTATATTCCAAAATAGCAAGGAATAAGAAGCCAGAGGTGATGGCGAAGGCAAGAAGGCGAAGAAGGCAAAAATAGATACAACGGTAGTCTATTTATAGAATTTACATGAGAAAGCTTCTGGATAGAAATTCACGTGATCGACTGGATTAGATTTAACCAATCAGCACGCAGCTAATAATACGAGAATCTTCTACCCTGTTCTCCAAGTTTCGATCAGGCTCTGATTGGATAGGAAATTAGCCAATCAGCGCGCAGCAACGTCGTCATGCTTAAATTTCCATCTATGTCCCACTAACAGTTATGTGCTATTCAAACTCACAATAACTTGATTCGGTTGTGTATTTATTCTCTGAAGAAGCAATTTACACAAATTCGCCGTAAAGCGTCAGAAATTCGACCTTCTACTCATGAGGATATTACAAATATATAAGTATTTTATTGTTACTCAGAGTTTATATTGGTTATACTCCCCTTACTTGGGCTTACATGTTATAACTCCAGCGACTTTATTCTGTATGTCTGTTAATCTTTCGTTATGTTCTTGTCTTGTTACTTATAATAATATTTTCATATCTAAAACATAAGTTTGTTAATCAATGAAACTAGGTTAATTTACAGTCAGATCTCTATTTCTTTATTATTAGCGTTTAACATTACAGAATGCTTGGCCAGATCATTTAGAATACGATTTTACAGACTTATTAGAATACTCTGATGTAAATTTTTCATCAAATGTTTGCGAAGAATTAAACATATCTACAAATGCTTTCAAATTAGTCCCGCTACTTAGTGTTAAAGATGCTGTGGAGCATATAAAACGTCCCGATTGTTTAGTTTTAGATGTACGTAATATCAAAGAATTTAATAAGTGAGTAATCAATAAATAATGTTTTATTATTATAACAAATTTCTATTAATTATGTCCTCATAAATGTATATATTCATGTATTCTGATTGTTATTGTTCGTAAATTCTTATTAATTGATTTTCTAAGTCATTAAATGCGTTTGACACTAATACTTCCACTTTATGACAATAAATCTAATTTTTGGTTTTCATTTTTCAAACGTTTTGAGCATAATAAAGAGATATTTGTACCGCTTGTCCCGTACGAAATGAGATGTAAGTCAGTCATTTTCGAAAGCCAACGGCCATTCTTTCAACACTGAATTTCTCGTCCCTGTAATATATTTTTGCTTAAACCATTTTTGTATTTTTAGTGAACATATATTTGTGCTCTAGTCATTATCGATTGTTGAGTTACTGTATGAAAATAAATACACAATTGTGATCATGATTAATGGCGAACCATGACATTTCTGTAAAATGTTTGGGTTCTAGATAAATTTATCATAGAAAAGTAACTGAAAGGTTAATTTTAAGATTAACTTTCTGCTCAGTTAGCCATTTATCTATAGATATTTTAGACTTAACTTACTGAAAATGTAGTTAGGTATTAATGTGTTATGTAAAGAAAGTTTAGTGTTTTCCTGTTTATTTATTTTGTCCCTTACCTAGTCATTTCTTCGATATGGAATTGCTGAATATGTCCACTCAAATTAAGAGTTCAATCATTTTTGTAGTTTATATCACGGATTTACGTTGTTTAGACAACTATCAGAAACCAGGAAGCGCCGGACATCTGTCTCATCAGTGTGAGACTCCCTGGCAGTACGCACCCGCGATCCCAATGAGATGGACCTCAAGACTTTCAGATTTTAAAGTTCAGACCACTTAACTGTAATCCTGCGGTTTACATTGGATAATCGCAACTAATTTGTGCAATATTCTATTTTTTGGTGGGTAATTATCTCATACCAAACAGTTAAGCTGCATTACTCACGGCTTCGCACTGAAAATCCCATACTAAGACAAAGCAGCTATCTAGTGCTCTTTAGTTCTCAATAGTTGTTTAGCTAATCTCAGTCCTTGGTGTAAATTATAAACTAATAATTTAGTTGTATATGAATGATCCAGACTGTTTTATACTGAGTCTGAAAAGAGGAAAAGATTCTATTGTTTCGGAGTTAACTTTTGCAAGCATGAATTTGGTTGTACACAAAATGAGGAAATCAACGTCGTTTTTCATTTAGTTAACGGATTCAGGTCAAAAGAAGTAAAGTTCAGAATGAAGGGTACCTTATTGTGTAATTTGCCTGATAAGACAAAACTGAGGTTATCCGCCACATTCTCATTGTTTAGTGCGTTTTTTGTTTTAAGCACTTTCGGGCATTGTTTTGTCCGTTTAGAAGGTTAATGTTGGATGTTACGCTGCAAATTCCATTTGAAACTTGTCATTTCCATCCATCCCGATGTGTAGCACTCACCAAACGAACAAAAGAATGACCAAATATACTAGTTAGGTACGACAAGTATTGAGAAAACAATACTGTTATAGTGTGATTAGTGAGCCTTATTTACTTTATTAAATCTGTGAACATTTATCTTTAGTGGATGAAGCTTGGAATGACATCAAAAAGGCTGTGGAAACAGCAGTGATATCTGCTGGTAAGGTAAATCATAAGGCTAGGAAGAAGCCTTGGATCTCAGGCGCGTCTACCGAACTGATAGTAGCTTGGAAACTCATCCTACAGGTGTTAGAAATACATCTGTCATCGAAACGATCTCAGAAAAGGATGATTGTATCATTCATCCTCAACCCAGAAGATTTTAATCGATTGGCAGAACTCTTTAGGAATAAGTTCAACTGGCTTTCAGCCACACTTCCGTTGCCCACAACTTCCAGTCAATCGACGTAGGTCCTCCTAGTCTTTATGAAGTTGAGAAAGCTGCAAGAAATCTGAAGCAAGGGAAAGCAGCGGGTCATGATAGACTCACTCCTAAGAGTTTTAAGGATGATGTTCCAGTTCAAGTAGTAAGGTTGACCGAGACAGTGACGCACATCTAGGCATCCGACAATAGTTGTATTCTAGGGGCTTTGGGCAGCATTTGACTCTGCTGATCGTGAGGTACTGAGGCAGTACCTGTTATTAAAACGTGTACTAGAGAAGTACATTAATCTTATATAGGCTCTCTGCTCGAACACAACTGGCCGAGTGAGAGCTTATGGCGAACTGTCATCGGAGTTGGTTTTTTCAAGTGGTATCCGTCAGGGATGTCCAGTTTCTCCATTCTTGTTTAATTTTGTGATAGACATGCTTCTGAATGTAACATTATCTTCGTTTGAATCTTTAGGATCTGAGTTTCTACCAGGAGATTCCCTGGTTGACTTAGAATATGCCAATGACATATTTCTACTTGGTGATGAAGCTGACAAAATACAAAGTCTTCTGACTACATTAAGCCACAATGCAAGCATGTTCGGGATGCTTATCTCATGAGTCTCATCAGTGTTGATGGCCTGTTTTGTGTTGAAATCTTAGCACAGATACAGAAAGCTCGATCGGTTTTCGCTAAGCTGCGTCACTTAGGGCACAGGCTATATATCCGTTTGCTGACCAAAGGATGAGTGTACTGCGCAGTAGTTCGCTCCGTCCTACTATACGGATGCGAAACATGGCCGGTGAGAGTAGAGGGCATTTGTAGATTTCTTGTCTCATATCATAGGTATCTCCGAAGCATTGCTTTTGTATCATGGGGCAACGGAGTGAGCAATGCTGTCGTTAGGAAACGGGGTCCTAGGTAAGGGTGGCAGATCAATTGATGAAGCATTGAAACTTCATCAGTTGAGGTGGTTGGGACATGTGTTTCGTATGTCTTATCACCGACTGCACAAATCTATGAAGTCACTAACAACTGGACTGCTTGTTTGGGGATGAACGTTATGAAAGTTATTGATGGTTAGAGACCCGGAATGATATCGCTCGAAACCGTTTGCAATGGCGCAGGTGCATTAATTCCTTGTGTCCTGTCAAATCGTAACCTAAATTCCTCATCACCTTTATCTTTTTCTTTTAAGTTTATTTCACTGTATTCTACTTGTTGAATAATATCGTCGAACCCTAAAATTTCCGTTACTGCTAACACTTTAACTACCTCTACTGCTATGGAACGTCCTCAACCAGGAGCTGGTCATTTGTTAACAGATAATTCAGGTTTTAGGACTTTCCCTCTTGTCATGGCTGATGAGAATCGGCGAGGACATTTTGACCGATGGTCTTTGAGATGAAAGGATGATGTCTTCAGCAAGTCGTGCTGAGGCAAGAGTTACCCTCATTGAAGGGGGTTTTCCTTTCGAGACATTTTGGCCCTTGAAAACGCGGCATATTTTGGCTGGGACCTCGCACATTCCAAGGGTTGAGCAGAGTTTATCCCATTGCTCTTTGTCGAAGGCAGCCCTACCTTCTAGCAAGCTTCCTTCCGACACTGGGACATTAAATAAAATCAGTGAGTTTAATCTGTCGTCCCTGTTCTTGGGTAGTAGCCGCTTGTGATTTGGGATGGTCCTATTCCCCTTCTTCATGTTTACTCACTGTTTTGTATTTCCAACAGATACTTGGAGGTTAACAACAACCGGCAGTTTTGTCGGTGTGTTAGACAGGGTTGTGGTAGCCTTGGTCACTTGTTTTACTGGTTTAGTGCCAGTCGATTTTGGTTCGGTCGTTTGGACTTTAGGGCTGATTTTGGGTGGGACCTGTAGCTTTGCCATTGCCTCAGATACTCTACACCGAGGGCAAATATAGCAGAACCATGGACATGGGTGACTCAGCATGAATCCGTAATACTCTTTAGGTACTGTAGTGTCGCAGTGACAATGTACCCATGTATTACAGAAGTTGCATTTAAAAGCACAGTCACTGATTTTGACTGGTAATGAGCAGGCAAAACAGTCATCCTTATGCGGTTTCTGGATGTTAGACTGTGTCGACTGAGCCTTGGAACGTCTTTTTCTCCTATTCTTAACTAGCTTACTGGTCTTTCTATGAATAGGAGTGGTGTCTTTCTTCCTCTGCGGTGTTTGCATTGAGTGATCCAAAGTATGGACACAGAGCGATACTATTGACTGACGGTTTGGGTTTTTTAACAACGCGTTCGCACGAGATTGGGATTTTCGACGCACTATTAACCCCGTGGTTTATGCCTCTACAGGTTTTCCTGGTTGTTATCGTGTAAGATGTACCAGCGAGCCTATTACCTAACATTATATCAGAGAGATTTAGAGGTGAAAACCAAGATAATTCAGATACGTGACACGAAAAAGGGATTTAGGAAAGAAGAATTTAGTAGTGTATAATATAACTACAAGGAATAGAGTCTGAAAGTACTCCAAAATTGCAACTTTACTTTTGACCGTATTATTAAGTAACTTTGCGTGTATCCAGTAACTTGTCCACAAGTCCTGTGTTTGTGAGTGAGTGGATGTATGTATGCTGCCGAAGACTGATTTCAGGCAAAGTTGCTTACTCTCACCCTTTCTCTTTCTCCTGGTGATCGACTGGATTATGAAGACATCAACCTCTGGAGGGAAGCACAAAATGCAGTGAACAGTCCACTTTCCACCTGAAAAATATATATTTGCGGCATCAATTTGACGGAATATGTTTTTTAACTTTAAAAGCTTCATTCTTTTCAAATTCAGGACAGAGTAGGTTGGAGGAATGCTGGTCGGTGGCCTATGCTCTCTTGGAGGGTAATAGGTATAAGTAAGTAACTAAGTAGTCTATTCAAATTCACTTTAAGACAAATTATTAACCATTCGATGAACACTTGATATTATAATTGTGTAATTTGTATTTCAAAAATCAACTTTTCAGAAATCATTTTCCTAACAGTATTCACTGTGAAACTTCCATGCTGGCAATGCTAGATTCTTTATCAGTAGGAGTCGAAGAAAGCCATATGTCTTTAAATACCACTGACTCTTACAACAATTTATCCTTAGAGAACTGGGAAATGATTGATTATCCAAGCGGTAATCGTCACCAACCACAAATTATACCAGAGTTTTTGGCTTTTCTTATAAATCAAAAACTGTGGCATCAGGCAACACAAGCTAGGCTGTCATCAAGTAATAAATCAAGTCAAGGAGTAACTAAAGAGTCAACTAACATCCTGATATCATCTCCTGGCCTCTTGATTGTATTTGGAAACGAAGAGCGTCTATGTTGGCATTTAGCGTTTTGGCTCATAAAATGTAATATTGATCGTGTTTGTATACTCTTCAGCAGTAGCAACAGTATATCAAACTTTTTAAACTCATGTTCTCAATGATCTTTAGTTTTTTAATAACGATCATATGATTTATGTACCTCTCAATTTGTTTCGTTTTTGTTCAACATCAGACTGCAGTTTTAAGTTCTCTCTGTGAAATGATTTATTTGATACTTTTCCTTCCTCAGTATCTCATTATAATGTTTTATTTTTGTAATAAGTGACTAAATTAATGTAACTTGTATTATATGCATTATAATTTCTAAATTTCCTTTTTACTTTGATCAGAATTAATATAAACCTAATACTTTTGAGCACTAATTTGTTTTACTTGTATTGTTTTGTTAATTCCAGTAATAACAGTGATAAGTTATTTTGCTAAAAATCAATATCAATGCCTATGTTATCTTATCTATAGTCAAGGGCCAAACAATCGTATGAAGCCTTACAGACGCATTACGAATGGTGTGAAATTATTTGGTTATTACTTTGATAGGATACGTTTATATCCGTTGTAACTACTCAAGGTGGTCAGTAGTTAATATACTTAACTGAGCTTCCTTGTTTCAGCAACATTGTATCAGAATCGGCTTCTTGCAGCACTGAATAGAAAATTGCTGTTGGTTATTCAATTGACTTATGGTGTGAGATCATGAACCGATCATGATTTTTAAGTCGGGGAATATAAAGGCTTTCCAAATGGGAAATGTCAGGCTACCATCCTAGTTCTTACGTCACCTCCAAGTCTTAGTCATTGGCAACGTGGTGAATGAAGCAGTCTTGAAACGGAGACAAATGCAAGTTCTCGTACGCTACGTGTATTGCTGTTTGGACAGCTGTTTGATTTTATTAGCATATATTGCGGATGGAATGGTGGGGAGAGGACCTCTAGTTGAAAGGAAGAATCATCAAAAGTCCCAGCCGTAACTAGATTTATTGTGAGACAAAGACTCTCCTCAAAATTCCAAAAGATCACAGAGGCCGGAGCGGATTATTACAACAACTTAAGCTTCGATGACAAAATGGGTTACAACTATCCAGACAATCTGGAAAGTTCCCTGTACGCCACTGGAATCTCGGTGCTCAGTCAGTCATGTACCTGTCCTAAGTATACAAACAACGAATAACCCTCTTGCAAAAAGCCATGACTGAAGAGAGCTACTTGAATAGTCGCTTGTTTTCTGTTAGAGATATAAATTTAGGCTTCAACTTTTTGATTGGTACAGTAGCTGCATTTTATATCACCTAACTGAGTCTAAAAACTTCCCCAGTAACACTCCAAACTTCCTAAAAGTAAAAATAGTAACATTTAGGCAGAAAACTTTGACACCAGACTTGAGATCTAGGAGGCATTCCCCCTGGGTGTTCGTCGTAGTGAGATTATATCTGGTATTACTGGAAATAGGCTTTTTAGAGCGACACCAATTGCTGATCGTCACCATGATATGTTGTTCCGCCTTTGCGCATCCAACGTTGGGCTGCACTGCATAGTTGATTCCGAGTGGCACAAAGTCATTCCTCTGAGATAGGCTTGCAACTGATAGTGCGGCTTCAACGAGTTTCGGGAGTTTGGTTCGTTGGAAACCGCTTAGTGAAGTCAAATGAAACTAGGAGTCTGCAACTCGACTGTCTGCCTCAGAGATAGGTTGTGTATCAGCAGTAGGTGGTGAGATGTAGTCCAGTTATCTGGATTCTCGGGGATATCACATGACTGAAGCTGCTCAGGCGGAAAATTAAAGGATTATTGTCTGAGAAAATAGTGAATTCTAGATCATCTACGGAGGGTTTGAAGTGCCTTTCATCATAATGCATGTATCGAGGAGTGTAGTGCTGGATGTGCTTTACCTCGATCCAGTGTCCTGCAACCATCATGAAGAGAATGCTCTAGGTTACCAGGAATTGTTTGCTCATTGTTGTTAGACTCCTCAGGTTATTGTCACGTGCGTCCATTGTGACACGAGTGGGTGCTTTGGCGTAGAAGCCTGTCGAAATAGTTGACTTGATGATTGATATATTCCTTCACTGTGGAAAGATCTTTTGTCGAGGTTTTGTCCAAGTTAATTGTTTTCTCATACCTACCTAGTTAGGAGTCTGATGAGAGACATGCACTGGGGTTTGAGTCGTCAATAAAAGCTTACCAGTCCATCTAATTTGCGCAGTTGTTTGACTGTAGTTGGTTCTGGATGTTCCGGAATAGGTATCGCTTTATTTTCTCAATGGCGAATACCTTGAGCCTCAATAATCTGCCCGATAAAGTCAAATGGATAGGTGGAAAAGATTTGTAGCTCAGGTGGATGGTTGTGGTGGTGGTGTTTGGTTACACAACCAAAACATCCAGCTCAGAGAACCAACCACCATCGCCACAATCAAATGGATAGGTTCCGATTTGGAATTTCTTGATATTGAAAGTAATGTCATGTTTATGGGTTTGTTGCAAATGAAGTTTTAGGTGCCGAAGATGAGACGTACTGTCCACAGCTACGATTAGATGATTATCAACGTAAGCAACTACGAAGTCGAGAACTCCGAAAATTTCATCCCTGAATCTCAGAATAGTCTGAGTAACATTTCTTTAACCATTTATATGTACAATTCACAGGGATTGATGATAACGGCTCTGGGTTTCTCATCCGCAGCCCCAAAGGGTAATTCGTAAGTGAGAAGCAGTAGGAAAGGATTAGGTGGGTTTTCATATTTATTCATCAGTGATCTCCATTCGATAGCCAAAATTTTTCTTCCTTCAAGGAACTATTTATAACACTGATAACAATGGGCTATTTTATTGTCGGATAGCCCCTAAATCTATAATGTGATTTCCTTATGTCTCAGGTTTCCGATAACTAGTTATCGAGCTATTGAGAAAAAAGGTGGTCCTGTAGTTGTGATATGATGCGCAACATTACTGATAAGATACGGGAGTTGCGGTTGTATTTGGTACAGTTTCGGGTTTCTGTTGAGAATTGGTTGCAATAACCTCCATTCACCCAAGTTTACAAGCAGGTTATGGTGTTGTGGCAGTTCTGTCACAGTGACTGGCATTGTGCCGTCTGCCACAACGAAGGACAAGTGATTGGTTTCGCTTGAACCCCTCTTTTCGGTAAACGTCCGTTTTCCAATCAGTAGTGTATGTCATTGAACGGCTAACTTTGCATCTAGCCTGAAGTTTTCTTTGGCCCGAAGGGAATGAGAGTGGTATTTTATATATGGAAGAGAAAATGTCAATGAAGCACTCGGTTAACACATTATTACATTTACGTTCAGTGGAGACATCAGTCGATAACAAGAATAAATAACACAAGCATGAGATTAGAGCGAATCAACACTAAAAGCTCTTAGACTAAAGTTTCCAATGGGTAAAAATGACTACTGATTCATTTGGTGTTTTTAGAGTGAAAATTGTATACTTTTTAATCTATCGTTTTTGTCTTGTAGAAGAAATTTAACTCTTACACCAGCATCAACTCTTGTCCTAATATCAGTGATTTATAAGGAGAGTGCATTGTTCACAAAACAGATATGGGGGCGATTTCCATATTGTTTATGATGGAAGATTTAGGATAAGGGAAATGGTAGACTTTATTAACTATTTGAAAAATTTGCCAAAGACGTTGTGTGTTAATATTCGTAGATACTCAGTCAACCTTTGGATGAACAGTATGCAAGAAGTACGAAATGATCTGCTCTCTGTGCTCCAGTAACATCTTACGAAACCAATGGTGAAGCACAAAAAACTAGTGGCCTCTGGTCAAAAATTTGGTACTGTATTTTAGACACTCCTTTGTTTTAGCACAAGTCTAGAGCTCATCACACCAATGAATGAAAACTGATAGTTATTTCCATAACTAATTGTATTATCTTATTACATTGATGTGACTCATAACTTTATTTATTTCCATAAGACTAGCTATTTTGGTCGGTACGCTTGCTCGTCTTACTTGATAATTGTAATTTCCATATTTATTGTACTAATTTAATTGTTTTTATGTTTAGAAACAGATAAAGTTTAAAGCGAAATTGGTATTATTCTGACTATAGCTTTCCCATAGACTGTGCTCGCCAATATTGCGTTTACAGTTCTAGAAGTCCATCTGTAGGAAAAATTAAATACCTTTGATAATTAGAAGTATTTGAATTATAGCATGAACTAATAATCCCAGAAATAACGTAAGTGGATCGAGAACTACTACATAAGCACGAAAGAATCTACTGTATTTAGAATTCGAAATCCGGCTGTTTTTACAACCAAGAAGTCACTAGTTCATTCAAACACCACAACAGCCACAGCTTAAATTGGAATCCGAGTGTCTGTAATCAATTGTACGTCTTCTCAAGTTCATCCTGTGTCTTTCCGACAGTGTATTATTGGATAAAGGCTATGTACTATCTAGAATGCTCTCATTAGTATTATAATTAACAACCGAAATTGGAACAGACTCACCTGGTTCCTGGAATTGTATTTGATCAACATGTCGATTGTGTGTACATAAGTCATTGATATCTAGAAGTCGCACCATAGATTTCCTGACATTCTTCAGAACAATCCCCGTGGATGGTCGAAGATCATTGCCACGATAATACGTAACTTCTGCAGACTCCAAACATCTCATATTCGACCGAAGAATTCTTCCTTTTAATAGCTTTGATAGAGCCTCTTTCGTCACCGAATGTCTGGCATTTCTATATTGCAGTAAAAAGGTATCTACTCCCCTCTCCAGCTCATTAAATGTTGAGGTGGCAATAGAATCAATAGCATTTTTCAACGTCCTGAAAAAATTTTCTGCCTGACCACTGGAACAAAGATGTCTGGGAGCAGTAAACAGATGTTTGCACCCTATACCATTTAACCAGGTAGTGACTGTATCTGCAGCAAAATGAGAGCCGTTATCAGTCACTAACACCATTGGAACCCCTTCTCCACTAAACACCTTTCTTAATGCTTGAATTTTGAAGTCAGAATTTGGTGAAGTTGTGAAAAAAAATTCAGGTCACTTTGAAAGAGAATCAATGACTGCAAGCGAATAGTATTTCCCAAGAAACGGGCCACAATAGTCTGCATGAAT